TTTTTAAAAAGTTTACCTTTTATTTTTAGCTTTTAAAAAAAGGCTAACTTTTTAACTTTTTTTTGTATGAGTAAAAAAAGTTATAAATGGACCCATTAAAAAGAGCATAAAATATTATACAAACCCTGAAAATTTGGTAAAAAATAAATAAGTTATAAAAAAGTATAAGTAATTTAAAAATGCTATTTTTAAAGAGTTTTTGCAATTTTCTTAGGAAACGGGAGATTTTGCAGATATATATATCGCTATAACTTTCTTATTATTTATACAATTTTTACCAAATTTTCAGGGTTTGTATAATATTTTATTTTCTTTTTAATGGGCCCATTTATAACTTTTTTTATTCATGCAAAAAAAAGTTAAAAAGTTAGCCTTTTCTTAAAAGCTAAAAATAAAAGGTAAACTTTTTATAAATAAAAATCGCTTCGAGGGGTATATGCCAAAATAAGCTGAATTTTTCATAACTTCTAATAATTTTGAGATAGTATTCACGAAAAAAATTTCTGTATAAATTATGAAGTGTCCGAACATTATGTGGTTAGGGCTCGTATTAATTAAAATTCAAAATTAAACTAATAGTAGATTTTGTAGCTGTGGTACTCGAAAAACTAATCTAAGGTGTCAAGTTTTACAAAATTCATAAAAATGACTATATCTCAAAAACTAACGATTTTTTACTAAGGTCATGTTTTGATTTTCTGGTTAGTCATGAGTTGGTCTATCAGTCCTCCAAAGGATATCGTTAACTTTTGGGACACCCTGTATATTTCATTAAAATTTATATAAGGTTATATGTGATTTGTTGATAAAAAATATCAGTAAAATACTTAATTCCGAATAATAATCTCAAATTTGTATCCCATTCATCAGTACCGTGTCGTCAGTTCCATGTTCGATGTTTCGGTTATCCTTTTTCTCAAACTTCAATTTAAATTCTGCTTGCACAGAACTTGTTTATTTAATGTCATTATAAACTCATATAAATTTGGTGTGTCTCATATCTAATAATTGAGATATCGGTATACCCAAAATCCACCAGCCGCCACTGATGTGTGGTATTATTTGATTTTAAGATATTTAATGTATAATATGCTCAAAGTTGCAATAAATTTTATATTTTCCAATAAATTATGTATTTAATTAGTACCCTGGTATACTCGTCACTTCCCTTGCATTCAAATTTAGAAAACACAGATATTTCAGAAACTGTTTGAAAAAGTGACTGGCCCGGTCTGGAACAGTATATTTATTATATTATCTATGTTCTCATAACAAAATACTGTTTAATTTTCTCCGAAAACTATATAAACAAAATGAGGTCAAAAGTTGCCCACTTTTGTAGAATCACCCATATACTAAGCAAGCATAATACGTATTTTATGTATCAAGTTTGATAAACACCATTTTAGACACGCATTTAATTTAGGCATCAGCGAGCTTGCGAGCGAGTGCTTAATAAAATGAGTGTCTAGAAAAGTTTATAAACGAGTTGCATACTATACTTTCTCTACGACAAAAACTTAACATTTATTAAAGGTACAAAAAGTGACAGTTGTATTTATTGGAATTCCCGTTAGAATTTATATCTTGGAAATCCAAAATTTCTCTATTCTGTGTAAATCAAAATTTATCCCTTGAAAATAGACTAACAATCGATATGGAAGCAGTTATTTACAGTAAAAGAGAAGAGAATCTTTAATGGGCACTGTACGCAAAATTGTTAGAAAGAGAAAGTTAGCTATTGAATTGCCAAAAAACTTATAGGACCTAGTCTGAAACAATTTACAGAATATTTTCGTGTGTGACGCATAGTACGTTCGTTTTACTATTATGGCTAATAGATTTTTTATAGATAAATATTTATAGCAAGAAAAACCTATCATTTATTAATTTATCACTTTAATAGAATTCTTACTTCCCCTTTAAATAACAATACAACCGACGGAATATAAATTAGTGCAAATCAAATCCATTGGTGTATAAAGTTATATGAAAGGTTCGTGATCTAATGGTATATAGGCACATTATTGGTCTAAGCTCAACCATATGGAACGAAATTTCTCCATTGCTCTTACATAACATGCATTCCGTAAAATATACTTTGTTGTTAAGGTAGATACAATAATTTTCAGATACTTACTTAATGTTGAAATTAACCACGAAGAAAAGTTTTTGCGTTTTAGGTAAAAATGTAAGTTTTGACAATTTTAATACAATAAAATGACCAAGTAATTAGTCATTTTTGACTAATAAATATTGTCATAGCGAAAAAGTCATTAGTAATTAATCAAATTTTACCTATTGAAGTAGTCAAACTAGTAGATTTAAATTTAAAAAAATTGACCCAACCGGGGTTTGAACTCGGTTTGTCTCAGTCGACAAGCTGATGTCTAATCGCTGAGCCATTGCTACTTTTATTAAAAATATTGTTATATTTGTGTATAAATATGGTCAATAATATTTTAAAGCTTTAAAAAGATTTGGAAAGTTTTAGAAAGCCTGAAAAATGCATGTGGGTGATTCTACAAAATTTGGACAACTTGATGTCATCAGTCAATAGAGTAGGTATTTTAATATTTTTTGTAAATATTTTAGTATATTACAAAAAAAACAGGTTTTTTTTAACTTGTAAATATTTTAGTATATTACAAAAAAACAGGTTTTTTTAACTTGTCCACCAAATTTTAATGTATTTTTTCAAAAGAACGTTTGTAAATATTCAAAACATCAGTACCTTGGCGTGTCACAACTCCTGAATCATATATTTGAGTGATTTTATTTTAAAATATTCAATTTATCTTAAATTTTTCAATTTCACTACAAACTATAAAACATTAAATAATGTATTTTTCATATTTTATCATAGATTCGAATAATAGCAATTTTTAAAAAATTGATATTCTACTCACTTTTATCCGTCAGTTCTGTGTCCAATGTTAAAATTCAAAATTCCTGCAAAATATTGAAGTTTAAACTTCAAGTCCTCGTTTTAACTCAAGTGTTGGTAAAAAATTACCTACAGAGCCCGCCCTTTGCACGACAGTCATCTTGAAAACAATGCAAGCGGCGAAGTTGTGGTGAAGGCACGTATAGTTCCAGTCAAAATTTCAGTACTGTGGTGAGTAGTTATTTTCTTACGTATATATATTATAAGTAGCATCTACTAATAAAATATATCAGTAAAATACTTAATTCCGAATTATAATCTCAAATTTGTATCAAATTCATCAGTACCGTGTCGTCAGTTCCATGTTCGATGTTTCGGTTATCTTTTTTTCTCAAACTTCAATTTAAATTCTGCTTGCGCAGAACTTGTTTATTTAATGTCATTATAAACTCATATAAATTTGTTGTGGGTCCCATATCTAATAATTGAGGTATCGGTATACCCAAAATCCACCAGCCGCCACTGATGTGTGGTATTATTTGATTTTAAGATATTTAATGTATAATATGCTCAGAGTTGCAATAAATCTTATATTTTCCAATAAATTATGTATTTAATTAGTACCCTGGTATACTCGTCACTTCCCTTGCATTCAAATTTAGAAAACACAGATATTTCAGAAACTGTTTGAAAAAGTGACTGGCCCGGTCTGGAACAGTATATTTATTATATTACACAGTGCAACAATTTGGGGGCTTTGAAAAATGGACGCAATTTTGCATAACACATTCGAAAGTATACATTAAGATAAGAAAAACCCTAGCTCTGTTTTGCGATATTAGCTCGCATTTTTATTTTATGGCTCTATAAAGTTTTACAAAATTTGTGAATTGACCTGCTCAGTTTTTGGCTAATTACTCGGCAACTATTGAAGATAGCGACATACTTTTTTTAGCAAAATTTTAGCTAAGAGTGCCAGCAACAAATTTTATTAACATATTATGCCTCAAAAATTACATCTAAATAGAGTTTTTGAGCAAAATATCGTAAATAGTCAATTTTTATTACTTTTTCGAACACAAGTCGCAATGTATTCTACTTTTTTGCTAAATTTATGTGGCAAAATTATAGTTCATGTAAAAATAAACAATTTTTGTGAACTTATTAACCCGAAAACAACTTACCTGATGTGTATCTTTTGAAGCCAAAATCAAGAAAATTAAAAAAAATTAAGGAAACGAAAAATATATATTAAGGTCGGGCTTTCTTGGCTGAAGGCCAGAATCTTCATCGTCCGAAGCAACAAATTCTTCCATAAATCTTTCTGTTTCCTCTCATCTTTTTCTTTTTTTTTTACTGTCACGGTCTTCAAACCTGCGCTTGCTCCACCAACAAATCTCAGCGAGAGTAGCATCTGCTTCTTTCTTTCCTTTGTATTTAAACGGAATAACAATTGTAAATGAACTAAGAAATAAAATAATAAAAATCTACCTTATTTTGAATGGAATTGCAGTTTGATGATAGCGTTCTCCCTGCTCATCTGATTCGGTTGGCAATTGAGGGCTAAAGTATTGCAAGTGATGATGCAAATAGTTGAAAATGTATTTAGCATACTCCGCACTGATTCTGTCTAATTTTTAGAACGATGTTTGCCCAAAAATCCAGTTATAACATGCTTTATGAAATACCATGCAACCAATTCATCGCCCACTAAAACCACTTCAAATCGTTCATTTTTCATTAACCTCCTTAAGTCTGGACCATTGAGAACTTCATGCTTTAACTTGTTGACACTAATTCCGGTAAATATTTCGCTTAAGCATATTAATACGTCCTCTTTTTTTGCTACAGCTGTTAAAAATTTTTTCAAGATTCCAAGTTTAATATGAAGAAATGGCAGTAATATCTTTTCAGGTGCTACAAGCGCTTCGCCTACAACATTACAATTTTTAAATTCGCTGTCCTTCCTATCTTTCCAATCGTTCTTTGCGCATTGGTCACCAGTGTATCTCGTATTCCAATCACACAAGAAGCACATGAATTTCGTGTAGCCAGCTTGCAATCCAGAGAGTATAGCGACAACTTTTAAATCGCAACAAATTCTCCACTGATATCATGGATGTTGCTTATACTGGACCAGTTCCAAAATGTACTTCATTTTATCATACGTTTCTTTTGTGTCCGTACTGTAGGCGATTGGGATTGGAGGTTTTTCGTTTAATTTATGCAACAGCACGGCTTTCAAACTATTTTTAGAACTGTCTATAAACAGGCGCCAATCATCTTTTTCGTAAATAATATCCATAGCCTTCATCAGCTTCCCGACGCCTTCACAATACGCGAACGTTTTTTCTTCATTCACAGTGAAAAATTGTTGCATTTCTTTATTTCGGTTTCGGTAGGCTTTAGTATTACTTGCTAGCAAATTATTTTCATTTAGGAATGACGCCCACATTTCCGATTTCCGTTGTGATAGCTCCAACATAGCTACAATATGATCCAATTTAGCTTGCGTAACAAGAATAGGATCACTTTTAATTGAGACAGGATTATATTCAGATTCATATTGTGTATATGTAGTTGCTGCACATGAAAACATAACTGGGTCTGGAAATGTTGATGGTATTGGGACAACATCGGAATGGGGCAACGGCAACTGTGCACTTCGAACGCGAACTTTATTTTTTGATTTTTTTTTTGTTCAACCCAATTACACTATTTACACACGCATAACAATTTTGAAAATCATGAGGGCCAGGATCAAACCATAACTTTGGTATACCATATGGTAGAAAATGAACTTTCTTTGCATTCCATGCTAAAAAACCATTGTAACAGTTTCTGCACACGCTTTTTGGAGCCCACGGAACATCATTTTTAACATTTTGAGAATAGTACTTTTCATAAGACATAACAAACCCGTCACTTAAGGGTAATTGTTTATTTTCTTTACCCATAGCCTTGCACTTTTCCATTTTCGCGTTTTAATAACAAGACAATTTTAACAACAACAATAACAACAAATGTAAAACGAAAAAAACAACAAACGCAAAATGAAAAAAAGTAACAACAACGTAACAACAAACTTTACAGCGTACAATCGTAACTATAATCACAAAAACTTTAAAATTGAAACAACAATCACCGTACTGACGATTGCACAATGACATATCGACCCATGCAACGAAGACTATAGTAACTCAAAAAACGGGGGTTTTGACTTACTATATGGCATCAACAGATTTTTTCAAGCTCTATTTGGTGGAAGATTACAGTAACTCAGACATGAAACGATAGGCAACCAGTGAACAACTTCCCTGTATAGTAAGTGTAATAATCCACATTCCTACAGGAAAAAACTATATTAAGTTGAGTTACTCTAGTCTACAATCAAAACTGAGTTACAATAGTCTTCGTTGCATGGGTCGATATGACGTTTGAAGAATTTTTACCTTTTTTCAGGCACACTACAATTTATAATACAAAATATAAGCTTTTGATCATAAATCGATAAATATTAATGTATATGGGATTGTTTCTCCTTAAACGTTATTTTTGACTGTTTAAAGATGCGACAATATTTCTTTAAAGAAACTATTTAAAAAAAAAGGCTACTGGAAAGTGATGGTCAAAAAGTGACTATATCTCTAAATTTTGGTTCAAAGCACAGATTAGGTTTTTCTCGGGTTATGTGTTCACAAAAATTGTTAATATTTAAGAGTTCTATTATTTAACCTTTATTATTGTGAACGCTCACTACCAAAGTGTTCGATAATCTCCTAGGCTGTAAAAATAATTTAGTCTAGTTATTAAAAAAGTGCTAACAGCTCTAAAGCTATCTAACCTCACTTTATTCTTTTAATAATTGTTATTATAATTGTAACTTACAATTTTTAAGTACGTTTTATGTACTGTTTAACAAATAAGACTTTGCCTAGATAAAATGTTGTATTCGACTGAGAAGTGTTTTTTTGTGCTAGCTAATTTGAGCTCAGCATTAAAAGACCAACTTCTTAGCCTTATGACATAAATAACTATTATTTTTACAGCTATAATTTTACCACATAAATTTAACAAAAAGTATAATAAATTGCAACTTGTGTTTGAAAGAGCAAAAAAGAGAACTTTTTACAATATTTTGCTCAAAAAATTAATTGAGATGTGATTTTTGGGGCATAATGGGTTTATAAAATTTGCTGCTGACACTCTTAGCTAAAATGGTTATGAAAAAAGTATGTCGCTATCTTCAATAGTTGTCGAGTTATTGGCCAAAAACTGAGCAGGTCAATTCACAGATTTTCTAAAACTTCAAAGAGCCATAAAATAAAACTGCGAGCTAATATCGCAAAACAAAACTAGGGTTTTTCTTATCTTGATGTATACTTTTGAATGTGCTATGCAGAATTGCGTCCATTTTTTTTGTGTTGCACTGTGTTATCTATGTTCTTATAACAAAATTAGGTCCAAAGTTGCCCAACTTTTGTAGAATCACCCATTTACCAATTCTACAGGTATAAGTGCATATGGGAAAAAAATCATAGATTCCTATTGCTATTCCTATTACATCTCCTATACAGCCCAAGTATTTAATTAATCTTCTAACATGACGTTGAAAAATTAATGAATATTTTTTCTCGTATACACTTATGCCCGTAGAAGTGCCATATACATTTTTGTGTCCAACCAAAATTATCAATCTGTCATTTTCGTCTAGAAGATCCGACAACACTGGATTACGAACATTTGATTATCTAGGGATATTTGGTTTGATTTATTTGGTAACTACCATAATTGTGTTTTTAAATTACTTTCGGTGATCATAAAAAATGGTTGTAAATTTGATATATTTAAAATTTTAATGCATTTTTTCATGCGTGCGTAGGTTATTATCCAACAATGCAATAAAAGGTGTATTTATGAAATATTTAACAATTTTTGAGCAAATTTTGTAATAAAATAATTATTTAAGCAAGTGGTGGTGCAAAGTGCCTCGTGAGAACATGTGCCATTAGCGGCCATTGTTCACCTGAAATCGAACTACTGACCTTTGCTGATGCAACATTGCCACATTGTGCAACTTAAATGCGTCCCGCAAACCGTCTGTGAGCTGTACCTACTTACTACTCGTTTTGAAAATGGATTTATTCTCATTATTTCAATTTCACTTTCATTAAGTATCTTACGATTTAAAAGCGGTCAAATTTATTTGTTATCATTTTAATATTTCATTTTGTCGAAAGAAGTAGCATAAAGCACAACTAATTTGTATTTACAAACATAATTCAATTTACATAAATAATGTTTCGCTTCTGTTATGAAACGTGTTCAAAAGAAGATGCACCTGTGGCTGCAAAATAAAGAAATTAACCTGAATTTCAATTGGATATAATATAACCACAGACAACATACGAGTTCAATGGCAAGCAAAGAGATCATCATGTAGGTAGACATTACGTTAACCAATACAGGTGAAATGTAACATCGCCAATTCAATCTTCTTATGTAATAGGTAGATAATCGAGCAGTTCAGGACTTACGTCAAATGGCCCATATCAAAAAAATATTTTTTTTGTTGATAAATCGCCAATCATAGCCACAGGTCTCCCGATGAAAATAATTTTGTTGAAGGTGCACCTTCAAACAAACAAAATTATCCTCCAAGGGGGATGATGATGTTTGTTGAATGAAGAAAAGGTTTTGGACCATTGCTCTATTATTTTTAATCACGAGGTGAGTACTAATTTTAAAATAGGAGGAATCCACATTAAACCTGAACTCGTCAGATTGAAGCTCTCGAAAGTCTGTACAACAATTTTCCGGTGAAAGCTGAACTTAACATTGTCAGAAGCAGACTTAAGGAAGATCATACTATTCAAGAATGAACATCACCAACCATCCAGGTCATCATGGAACTACTAGAATTCAGCTCAGTAAAAAAGATTTTCAGCCATTGGTACACCGAAAAAAATAATGTAGTTGAGTTAACGTTTGCCTAAATGTCATTTTTGAAAATGTTGTTTCATCAAAAAACCTATTGGATTAATCTATATTTTGGTGTCAAAGCAATAGAGTTTGTCAAAGTTTATTTGTTCATTTGACAGTTAAAATATTGATTTAACATAAACTAATTTTTTGAATTAAAATGTTTATCCTATTTTGATTTAATAGCTGGAAATGGTTAAACCAAATACTGAAATTTTTAGGATTACCTAACAAAACTATTAAATTAACGTTTGTTTAGTTGCTCTTTAAATCCAAAACATTAAATTTGTTCATTTAACAAATTGTAAATGTTACTTTAAAATTTGTTAATTTTGCATTCATAAAATTGCCGTGAAGGGTGCTTCGAACACCCACGCCACGTCATTAGACGGTGTTGATCACGTGATGTTCTTACATCTCGCCTCAGTTGACTTACGATAGGAGCTACTAGTATATAAGCTCAGGTAGCCGTTTGTTTTCGGTGTGTTCCACAGTGGAACTTCCACTACACCAAATTGCCCGACACTGATTATCAGTCTGTCGGTGGGTATTTGAAGTAGGTGGAACGCACTCAAAACAAAAAGGGAAGGTTCAATTCTTTCTCTTTATATTAATTCCATAATTTAATTAACCCAACAATAGCGCAAATTATTTTAATTTAAAATGTTATTGGTGTTAAGTGAATATGCTAAAAAGGTTACCTGGACATTTCAAGAAATTTATCTTAAAAATGTTAGCACAACCATTTTCGAAATATTACTCCGACTTATCAAAAATGTTTAATTAACCAGATTAGCAGATTAGAACAAATATTCTCATTTTGTTCATTTGACTAATATTTGTTGTTAAACAATACAATTTGACATTTTTAGATGGTTAAGTAAACGTGCAAAAACCATTGCTTGTATTTAAAGTGCATAAAGAGTTGAATTAATATTTGTTATTGTTGTTTCAACAGCTTATTTTTTTCAGTGTAGGCTTATCTCTCTTAATGGCCAATATCTATATGGAATGGTTTAAATTTGAAGCACTAAAATAATAATAATAATAATATTATAATATAATATATCGAGTATACTCGATAGCATTATTGAACTACAAGGTATGTCAACAATACATTTAAAGCATACGAACTTCACTTCATTTTTAAATAAATGAGTATTTTTTTTACAAAAGAGAGGTCTTACTCGACAAATTTTGTTCGCAAAGTTTCAATTGCACATCTATCGCGCAAGTTATTGGTGTTTCAGGTTATTTAAAAATTTCTTGTACATTTGCTATCACACAACTTTAATATTTTATAAAAAATTGAGTTTAACGCCATTTGGAACTTTACTAAGCGAAATCAATTGGTTTAAGTGTTTTTAGAAACTAAATATTAGCAAAATTGTAAAATTTTAATTTTAACTCTATAAAAAAAAATTAAACTTTCCTTAACAGAAAAGTAGTCCCACTTTAATACTTAATGCTATTTAAACATCTTAGAGTAAAATAACATCCTCTTTTTTTGTATAGTTGAGAATATATTCCAAATATTACAGAAAAAGCCCATTTGTGGTAATATTTAAAAATACAAGTGGTTAAAATAACCCCTAAAGTTTGTCCCTTAATTTTGGT